GTTGTTTGGCGGGTCCGGGCTGGGGATTCGAACCCACCACCTTAGGTGTACGTGGCTGGCGCCTTAGCCCGGTGAGCTATAGGCGCCGAGCCTAATTTTTCTATTTTTAGTAGAAACAAGGTCTTGCTCTTGCTCAGGCTGGTCTCAAAGTCCTGAGCTCAGGCAGTCCTTCCCATCTCAGCCTCCCAGAGTGCTAGGATTACGGCCCTCCTGTGTGCTTTGATGTGTCCTTCCTTGCTCTGCTCCCTGTGTGCAGGATGAGTCATTGCATGTGGCCAGGCTCAGGTGCCTGGTGTTAGCAGTGTTCTGTTATGTTATATAATCCTGCCCCAGAAGCTCCACTTCCCATTGGTGGTCCTGTCTGGCCTGTGAGTGTACAGAAGCCTGCCCGGGCGGTCTCTGGCAAGAACACAGCTTCTAGATGTCCCTGTGATGTTCACCCCACCCCTTAGTTGGATTGTGGCAGGTGAAGAGTGGCTGTCATCTTTGTGAGGCACAGATCCTAATGTGCCTAAAGAGGCTGGCTCTGTGACTTTCTGACATGATTCTATTGATCTCTGAGCTTTTTTGCTCTTCCTGACACAACAAGGTCACCGGCCTGATGTCGTGTGGCCAGCCCAACCTTGGGACTCTCCTTTCCTCATTTCTCCTGGTCATGGTGTGACACTTTGAAAGCCGGATGCTCCTGGTCTAGGGACAAAGTAGCTTTGGGAGGAGAGAACTGACATAGGGAGGGGAGGTGTGTAAAAGTAGTCATTTTAAGTTTTTCAGCTTTAGCATTATTTTTTGTTTGTTTGTTTGTTTTTTGAGACAGAGCCTCAAGCTATCCCCCTGAGTAGAGTGCCGTAGCATCACAGCTCACAGCAACCTCCAGCTCCTGGGCTCAAGCGAGTCTCCTGCCTCAGCCTCCCAAGTAGCTGGGACCACAGGTGCCCACCACAACGCCTGTCTTTTTTTTTTTTTTTTTTTTCTTGGTTGAAGTTGTCATTGTTGTTTGGTGGGCCTGGGCTGGATTCGAACCTACCACCTTAGGTGTATGTGACTGGTGCCTTAGCCACTTGAGCCACAGGCGCCGAGCCTATTTTTGATTTTTATATTTGTCTCTTTTTTCTTTTCTTTTCTTTTTTTTTTGAGACAGAGTCTCACTATGTCGCACTAGGTAGACTGCCATGGTGTCACAGCTCACAGCAACCTCAAACTTTGGGCTTAAGTGATTCTCTTGCTTGAGCCTCCTAAGTAGCTGGGAGTACAGGTACCTGCCGCAACACCTGCTTTTGTTTGGTTTTACTTGTCTTTGTTGTTTGGGCTGGGTTCCAATCCACCAGCTCTGGTGTATGTGGCTGGTGCCCTAGCTGCTGAGCCATTTGTCTCTTACACTGAAAAATTTGGTTCCTTAAAGTGTTAATGTATTTACTTACCATGTTTTTTCTGGAGTTTAAGTGAAAGTTTTATAATTATGATTGATAGTTGATACTTAATAGCAAACTTACTAAGTGAAGGTTAAGGTTTCTCTGTGGTTCTTTGTGTCCTTAGAATTTATCACATTAATGATATATAGTCAGACTCCTGTTAAAGAGTTAGTTGAGATACTAAATAATTATTTTTCCTTGTGACTGGTACCTGTTTGAGCCTGCAGTTGGGCTTGGTTTATTTGTGTACAGGTTGGGAGTTTACCCTTTGTCCTTTCAGGTCTTACTCTGGGACGTGTGAAGTGTTTGCCCACATTCTGAAGCTTGGAGAGAGCCCATCCCTGTGCCTCTGGCAGGCTCCCTTCTCAGGCCTCCTGCTTTATGTGGGCTTTTAAGGAACCAGCTATGTGCACACTGTTCTGTCCCTCTTTCCTCACTTAACAAGAAATCCTGGAAATCAGACACAGCAAGCAAGCTCTACCTCCAGCTGCACTTTCCCTGGCAGTGGCCATCCCAAACCCTGGACTTTGGGGCTGTCCTGTGTGGGCTGAGTCTGCAGCTGTCTGAGGAATTTCCTCTGCAGATCCCGCCCCCAGTGTGGGAGTGCTAGATCAGGGTCCGTGCAGTGGGATTTTGTGAAGACTTGGGGACATTTTTTGAAGGGAGATTGTTTATATGACAAGCTCAAATGTGGAAGGTAGTGGATGGTTTTCTTCAATTTATAAGAAGACTTAGAAGAAGATGGGACACAGATGTGGTTTCCATGTGTCCATTGTTTCTTTCCTTCTGTGTGACTTGTTCTGTGCTAGTGTCTATGTGTGTTTACTTTCCCATACATGGCAGTGATCAATGTTTGTGTTTCAGGTGGCAGGATTGTGTCCTCAAAACCCTTTGCACCTTTGAACTTCAGAATAAACAGTAGAAACTTGAGTGGTAAGACACTGTTGTTGCTCTGATTAGTGTTAATAATTTATTTTTCTTTTTTAGACAGAATCTCACTCTGTTGCCCAAGCTAGAGTGCCTTGGTGTCAGCCTAGCTCATATCAACCTCAAACTCATGGGCTCAAGCGATCCTCCTGCTTCAGCCTCCCAAGTAGCTGAGACCATAGGCACCTGCCACAGCGTCTCGCTAGTTTTTCTACTTTTAGTAGAGACAGGGTCTTGTTCTTGCTCAGGCTGGTCCTTAGATCAAGAGATCTTCCTGCCTCAACCTCCCAGTGTGGTGGGATTACAGACGTGAGCCACCATGCCTAGTGTTGATAATTTTAAGCATCTGATGTCCTTCATCACAGGGCTCTTCCGGGGGCCCTGTGGATATTAGTTGGGGCTGGGTTATTTTCTGGGGTGGGTCTGTCCTTGGCATTTCAGGGCACTGAGCAGTATCCATGGCCCCCACCCACTCTGTGCCAGGAGTACCCCCTATTGTGACAACCACAGATGTCCTCAGACGTGGCCCAGGGACCCCTGGCGGGAATTTCCCTGGGTAAGAGTTTCAGGGAGTTTGTTCACAGAGCTGCTCACTCATGTGCTTAGATGGTCAGAGCAGGCCGTGGCTGTGTGGATGGTAGAGACCTTAGACTGCAGAAAGCCTGCAGCAGGGATGAGCTGGTCCCTTTAGTGCGCTGCTGACTTGTCAGCTCCAGGCTGTACTCTGGTCAGCATGGCCTCCCCATAGGACAAAATCAGGTCAGGGCTGGGTACTCAGAGGTGCAAGTGTTAGTAGGTGCTGGCTACTCTTGCAGCCCTGACCTATGTTGCTTCTGGATAATTCTTTCTTTCCTTTTTTTTTGAGACAGATTCCCAAGCTGTTGCTCTGGGTAGAGTGCTGTTGTGTCACAGCTCACAGCAACCTCAAACTCTTGGGCTTAAGTGATTCTCTTGCCTTGGCCTCCCAAAGTAGCTGGGACTATAAGCGCCCCCCACAATGCCTGGCTATTTTTTGTTGTTGTTGCCATTGTTTTAGCTGGTCCAGGCCAGGTTTGAACCCGCCAGCCTCGGTGTATATGGCGAGCGCTCCACCCACTGAGCTATGGGTGCCACTGCTTCTGGGTAATTCTGCGAGTCCTTTAGATCCCTCTCAGTTGGGCTTACCTGCAATTTACCTATGACAAGTCCTTTCAGGTTAGAGGAGGTCACAGACCACCTCCTGGAGACACCCTGGGCCTCTGTGGGTGGCTGTGGGGCCTGAACTTAGCGAGGTCGGAAGATATTTCCCCAAGTCTTATGGTAGGAAGGGGGAAGGTGATGTGGCTCAGGTCTATTTCCTCTTTTGCCTATCTTTGAGGTGGTGAGCTCCTCCCCTGCCTGCTGCAGGCTCCTATGGTAGTGGTTAGGGTCAGGGTGCTGTGCAGAGAGTCCTGCAGGCTGGAGCAGCTATGTAGCTGTGTGGTAACCTGTCTTATTGTGTGCAGACATTGGCACGATCATGCGTGTTGTGGAGCTGTCACCCCTGAAGGGCTCGGTGTCGTGGACGGGGAAGCCGGTCTCCTACTACCTGCACACTATCGACCGGACCATAGTGAGTGTCCTGGCTGTACCCTGGCCAGCAGCCCCCATGACCCTACTGGGGCCTGTCTTAGCCTACTGGATGTAGGGGAGCCAAGTCAGCTTCTGTCCGGGGAATCCCAGTCTTGACCACCCACTACCCCTGCTCCCAGCTCCCAGCTCCCAGCTTACTCTATGTTCAGGGAACAGGACTCCAGATCTTTAGGTCAGACTGGGAGGCCTCTTTCTGCCTATCTTCCCCACAGTCCTCTGATATAACCCAGAGCCAGCAGGAAGCCTGCTCTCCCCTCTGTGTGCTTCTCCTGGTTGTCCTCCTCTGCTGGGCAGCATTGCCCCAGCCTCAGGCCCCTCCTTTGCTTCAGCTCTAAGGTTTCTCTTAAACAGGTTGAACATAGGGCTAGTTTTTCTTCATCAAGTTTTGCCACCTTGTTTGGACCTTTATATACAGTGCTCAGAACCTTGATTTGGATCCCTTCTGGGGAGCATTGCTATGAATTGGGGCCTGACTGCCCAGCTAGATGTGCCCTGCCCCCTCTCTCTGGAGGTGACCAGAGTTCCTCAAAGAGACTGGGACTATTCTGCCCTGTGGTGTGGGGACTTCGTCTACACATGTGATCACCTGTGTCCCATGAAGGGAGCTGCTTCTTGGCACTGGGTCCCTGCAGCCTCTGCTCTATGACCCAGTCAGCAAAGCTGGGAGCCTGGGGTGGGAGAGCGGGGTTGATGTTTCTCTGCAGAATGTCGTTCCCTCTTCCAGGGGTGATGTCACATTGTGATAGAATGTGCCTGTCCAAAAGGTCTAAGTGGCTCAAATGCTCAGCTGCACCCTGTTGGTGAGCTGAGGACAGTTCCTGCTATGGCAGGCTTGGGTCACACACTTGTCTGCTACCAGCTGTTCCAGCCATGCTCTGTGTCCTAGAATAGCTGATGTTATCTGAGGTGTCTCATTACTCCCAACAGAGTTTGGGACTCAACTTCTAATAAGAATTTTTCTTTTCTTTTTTTTTAGCTTGAAAATTATTTTTCTAGTCTGAAAAACCCAAAACTCAGGGTAAGTTTGTATGTTTTCTTTTTTGAGCTAATAGCATGGATCTGCTGCTGTATGAAAACTTGAGAAATTCCCAAATGGCTGGATTAAGGCATGATAACTGTGGCTTTTCATACCACTGCATCCTTCACCTGTCTCTGTCTTTTGTTGTTTTTCTACACCATCCTCATCTTTGATGGGTTTACCTGGGCCATTCTTCTTGTAATAATTTGAGGAAAGTAGTTTGGGTGAGTTGTGTGTGACCTTCTTTTTTATTTTTTGAGACAGAGTCTCACTATGTCACCCTCAGTAGAGTGCCCTGGCGTCACAACTCACAGAAACCTCTAATTCTTGGGCTTAAGTGATTCTCTTGCCTCAGCCTCCCAAGTAGCTGGGACTGCAAGCGCCCGCCACAATGCCTGGGTATTTTTTGTTGCAGTTGTCATTGTTGTTTAGCTGGCCAGGGCTGGGTTCGAACCCATCAGCTTCGGTGTATGTGGCTGGCGCCATAACCACTGTGCTATGGGCGCTGAGACAGTTGTGGCCTTCTAAAGGTTATTTTCAGAATTTCTGTGACCTCTGCTTCTGCTGGCCAGGGCCAGAATGTTCTTTGCTCTCCTTGTATTGTTTCTCAGCACTGCTATCAGTGCCCTTCCCTGTAGAGAAGGGCAGTAAGTTCTGACTTGGAAGAAGGCAGTGATAAAACCTGCTCTGATGCTTCTCCAGTCTCAGAGTTGTCTGTTTGACGACAAAGCAGAGAGGATGTCTTTCTAAATGTTTTTCCTTTCTGAGGTCAATCCACCAGGCTCAGTACCACCTCCACTCACAGCCATGGGTTCTTCTGGGGTCCTCTGTCCTTCGCACTATCCTTACTAGAGGTCTTAACAAATATGATAACAATTGCTCCCTTGAGAGTAAGTGACAGCCTAAGTTGGTTGGTGTTTTCTAGAATTTTCCTTCTTTAAACTGCTGTTTCCAGTGATTATCACCTAAGAGAACAGTATCTTGGTAGAGCCTCAGTGCATCTCACCCAGAAGGGAGGTGAGGGAGAGAGACAGGGAGGGAAGCATCCTTGTGCCTGAGAGTATGTCTTCTATGTAGCTCCTAGTTCAGAGGCCACCTGCCTTATTGCTGGTGCAAGCATCTCCATCTGAGTGTGCTGCCATGAGTGTGCATGCCATGACTGTGGGGCTGTGGGGCTATGAGCTCATTGGTATCTTTGTCTCAGCTCCGTTGTCTTTGCCACGGGCAAAACAGTTGAAGTGGCAGAGCCAAGGCTCATGGCCCCTCAAGTGCACCGTCTAAGTGGGTGCTTAGATCTGGAGGGTCAGGAGGTCTCTGACATGTCCCAGCACTTTCCAGAGTCATCTAGCTTTTCCTTTCCAGGAGGAACAAGAGGCAGCTCGACGCCGGCAGCAGCGAGAAAATAAAAGCAACACAACCACCCCCACCAAGGTGACAGAGAACAAGGCACCCGGCCCCCCAGATGCCCCTGTGGTAAGCCCTGCCCCGGGCATAGTTGTAGTTGTGGCCGCTGCCAGGCCTCCCACAATTATCCGAGGCACGGCTGGGACATTGGCTCCCGGGGTATCCTGCTGTTATCCCTACTCTGTGCCTTGTAGGATTCTGGTGCTGAGGAAGATAAAGCCGGAACCACTGCCACCAAAAAGCCATCTCCCTCTAAAGCCCGTAAGAAGAAGCTGAACAAGAAAGGGAGGAAGATGGCTGGCCGCAAACGTGGACGTCCCAAGAAAATGAACACTGCAAACCCCGACCGAAAGCCCAAGAAGAACCAAACTGCACTGGATCTCCTACACGCTCAAACTGTGTCTCAGACAGCGTCCTCCTCACCCCAGGGTGAGCCCTTCTTAGGGGATGCGACCCTCTTCTGGATTGCAGGTGTCTATAATGCCTTTGTGATGGCCCCACCCAAGGGTTTCTGTCCCACCTGGAGAGGGCTGTGTGGAAACTACGCACCTGCTGGGTGTGCTGCAAGGTGTCTGCTATGGCCAGTCCTGGCAGGGCCTCACCAGTGGGCATGAGTATTTTTTTCACCATGTTGTGCAGCTGGGGTCTGGTGATGTAAATGCCAGTAGGCAGCCATGCTGCTCCCAAGCGGCTAAGACCCTGAGTAGAGGGAGACTTCCAGAGGGGCCTTTGTGTTGGTGGTCAGGACTGCCAAGACGCAGCATTTGGTGGAGTCTTTGGACTCTAGGAAACATCTTGTGCCTCCTCCTTAAGGAAGCTAGAGTCTGTAAGGTGGTTCTGGGGCTCTGTGGGAGTGTGGTCAGATTGACATGCAGACTTGTTCTCTTGTGCAGATGCCTACAGGTCACCTCACAGCCCGTTCTATCAGCTACCTCCGAGTGTGCAACGGCCCTCCCCTAACCCACTGCTGGGGGCGCCCACCCCACCTGCGCTGCAGAAGCTGCTAGGTGAGCTTGAGGGCACTGTTGGCATGGGGTGGGTGGAAACCAAGGACACTGCTCAGGACCCTGCAGGGTCCAGGATGGCCCCACCCCAGACCAGGGAGTGGCCAGCTGGTCAGGGGAGAGAGGCCTGGGCAGTGCTTCTGCACTTGAATGCTCCCTATGGCACAAGGGTGCAGGCATTTCCTGCTTTGATGAGCTTGTGACACTCCTACAATGGCCCTGGGATCTGCCCAGGTGAGGGGGAAGGCCCTGGGCTGGGACAGGCACTAAAGCAGCCACTCTGGTGTGCTTGTTTCTGCAGCACTGCTTCCTCTTCTTGTAGCCTCAGGGCAATCATTATGTCCAACCTCTATCCTGGTTACTCCTTTCCAAAGCCATGTCCCGTGTCTCTCTTTATAGAGTCCTTCAAGATTCAGTACCTGCAATTCCTGGCATACACAAAAACCCCCCAGTACAAGGCCAATCTGCAGCAGCTGCTGGACCAGGAGAAGGTGGGTCCCACTCGCACCTGTGGCCCTTCTCTCTACAAGGAGATGAGCTCTGGTCCTGCTGCCCCAGCACTTGCTCCATGTGCCATGGAGGCCTCTAGAAGGAGCATGCCCTGCCTGCTACCCCTCCCTGCTCACCCATGAAGAATTGACCATCTTTGGTCAGGGACCTCAGTGGCCTTTAGTGCCAAGTGGATGTTATTGCCTTCCAGATGAGGATGGCTCTGTCTGTGTCTCCCCCCATTGCTCTTTGGCTTGGTTTGTCTATCACAGCTGGTCTGTGAGTGACTGTAGTAGTGTTTCAAGGTAGCTGGTGAGCAGAGTTGAATCCATAAACCACCTTGCTGCCTCCTCTCTTTTCTCAGTTCAGGGATGTAGGAGATGGAAAGAGCTTATGTGTTTCTGTATTCAGTGATTTTTTTTTTTTTT